AATATTGCACTTATATATGGTGCCTGTGGGGATACCTTGCTGTAATTGGGTATGGCCTGATACTTCCAGGAGACCTCTCCATGTATTTCCTGGACTATATCCTAAACCTGTTGAGAGAAGCAGATAGTGGGGGTTGAACAGCTCAATCTAGGCTGCTTTTGTTGGCTTTTGGGGTTTGTTTTACCCAGGTAGCCTGTTGGGAAGGGGGTCCAGGGCTCCTTTTGCAGCTTCAGTCTCGTGTGCCAGCGATGGTTCCTTGGTCTTTGACCCTCAACCCAGCTCAGCTGCTCACGGTTTTTAAACTGTTGTTTAGCACAGTGGTTATATTCAGGAAATGCCCAAAATCACAGAATCATGGAATATCTTGAGCTGGAAGGATCAATGATCCAACACAGACGCCCCAACAGTCCCACCCTGTGCATCCCTGAGAGCTTTGTCCAAACACTCCTGGAGCTTTGGCACGATTGAGGCTGTGGGAGCCTGGGCAGTGCCCCAGCACCTTCTGAGGGAAGCCCTTTTCCTTTTTTTTATCAATTTATTTTATGGAAATGCTGCGAAAACCATTTTAAATTAGTTTATTTAAATGAAAAATGTGAGTAGCAAACCAGAAGACCAGTATCTGGCCATCTGTTCGAACAGAGAATTTTTGAACGTGTTTCCCTGAAGAGGAGCCAGGTTCTTGGCACTGAGGGGGGAAAAAAAAAGGAGAGAACGTGCATGTGTGAGACAACTGGCTGCTGTTGTCAAAATGCACATGTCACTGGGAATATAAAATACAGGCTTTTAGAGCTGCCTCAGTCCTCCCTTCTGTCTTGCTCTGCCACAGTAGACGTTCAGCTGCTGCCTGCGCTTGTCGTGCGGCCAGCCCCCCGAATTTATCCTTCTCATATGGCTAAATAACTTCATCCCCGTGGCAATTTGCTTGAATAAAGAGCCTGGTGAGCGCAGTGGAGCCTGGGGATGCAGCAGCAGAATCAGCGGCTGCTCCGGTGAGCAATTACGCGCTGGAACGGCGAGAGGAGGGGGTGGCCAGGCTGTCAGAGCCTGGATTAAAGCCTTCATCCCTGGAATTCCCCATGTAATACCCTGCTTTTGTAACAGAGAGCACCTCTGATTACAAATGTGTGCAGTGTTGAAGTTTAATACTGATTTTTGCTGGTTAATTTCTGCGCCGGCGCCGATCCCGCGCGCTCGCCTGCGGAGGGTCGTGCATGACAATGAGTCAGGAAGCTGTGGCTGATCCCACCTATTCCAGTTCGTGCTGGGTCTTCAGCCAGGGTTGTGAATTGCTGATGCACAGAATTTATTTAGCTTTGTGTTGATCAAAGCTGTTCATGTGGGGCATTTTACAGCAGGAGTGTGGCCAGATGCACCTGGGAGAGCTGGGGTGGTTTGCGGGCTGCTTACGAGTTTGGGCACAGGGAGCAGCATTTGTCACCTCTATAAATTCTGTGCTCATCTGACAGTGAATGGGCACTGTTCTAGCCCTGGAAAACTGGGAATAGCTGCCTTGAAGTGCCTGCGGTGCCCCATCCTTTGGCCACCAGTTGTCCCCTCCCCGTGGCCTCCCCTGGCAGGTACATCTGGGAGCTGAGGAGCTCCTCATTAAAAAGCTGCATGTGTCATAATCCTGATGGGAGCAGAGCAAAGGCAGCCACCTCCCCTGGGAGTGCTGCTGTGGGTTTTGAGCTCCTTCTTTACATTATGAAGGTCATTTCTTTGTTCTCAGTGCCGTTGGTGTAGACCGCAATTCCTGGCTCTGTCACATACGCAGATATTTAGGAAAATAGGAGATATTTTGTAGCCCTGGGAGTGTTTGGCTTCATCATGGGTTGCTGTAGTCCACTATTTGCACTGGCTGATCTCTGTAATTCCTCTTTGCTGTGGTGCTTTACAAACTCTTAGATGTATTTAAAAAAAAATAATGAAAGTGGTGCTGTCCAAGCTGAACCACCCCAAAATCACTGCCCTTGCCCAAACTGCTCATGGCTCTCATCAAGGCTCATCAAATCAGGGGCAGAAGCAGTTTATTGTTTGCCTTAATCCTACAACCACAGATACCTGCAGGGTACAGCCTTTCTCTTTACATTCTTCACTGTTTGTGCTTTTGTTTGTGTAAATTCTTGATATTGAGGTAGGTTTTCTTAATCTCTGCCCTGTGCAGCACCTAATTTTTTGCTCTGCTCATGATAAGAGCTCCTTAATGGTGTAGAAGCACACGTTATTAGGGATGAGTCCTGCTGTGAGCTGAGATTTGCATAAAATAATTCTTACTCGAGGGATGAGTGTGAGTTTGCTGTTCCATTTCTGAGCCTTCAGATTTGTTTTGAAATATTTAGTACAGCTTGGAAATGCAGGGCATTCTTTGAAACAGTTTGGTTGGAGGGGTGTTAAATTCAAACTGTTTGTCATGAAATACTTAAATCCAAACAAAAATCAAGGATTGTGAGGATGTGCCTATTCCAGCTAATGAGCACATCCTGCGTTTAAGGGTGAAGAAGGCACTTGAGCAGATTTGAGCTGACTGTGGCTGTTGGCTGCAGCAGGGTGACAGCCCTGGGTGAAGTGGGACAGCCTGTCAGGATCTGAATTTAATGCTGGAAATACCAATAATTGCACTGAGCTCCACGCCCAGTGTTTTTGGGGAAGGCAAGGAGCAGGTCCCCAAGGTGATCATTTAGTGTGGACTCACACAGGAGAAGAGCTGCTGGCTAACTTGCACTGTATTTATTAAATTTAATACCCTTTTCCAAGCTGCTCTCAGCAGTCAAATCATGAAGAGTAAATCTCGTAGGGCTCACGTTTGTGAGCTGGGTATGTACACTCAAATATTTTTTATTTTATTTTTCAATTCTCTACTTCAGCTTTTTAATCCACCCTGTCTGTACCTGCTTTGTGCCTCTGAGGACTGTTCGAAGGTGCAGTGAGACTGGCAAGGCATCCTGTTGACCATGGGAATAATGAGTTGGCTCCTGAACTCATTTGGTGTGTGGTATTTTGTAATTAGCTAGGGGAACTTGCAGTGTTTAAAAAAAAAAAAAGGAAATAGGAAAAGGCAATTAGGCAGAACTTTCCCTCTCTGATCAGGCATATAGTGTATTTCCATTGTTACTTACAGCTTTAAAACCCCTCTCTGGAGGGCTCTGTATTAAGTAATTCATCTTAGTTAACACTTCATTGGGAATCGCGTGCAATTAATCGACAGCGTATAGAAATAATGGTCTGATTAATAGAAATCCAGTTCCTGAGAGCTGAGACTGTTTCCTTTACAAGTTCTGCACTTGTTTGGGATTGTTCTTTCCAGGTTCAGTAATGATATGTATCTATCTGCCACTTGATCTGCGAGGGCAGGATTGAAATCCACTTTGTGAGCGAGATAATGAAAATCCATACGTGGCTCTTCTGCTCCTTCTGTGCCATTAAACAACCAGAAATGTGATAGTCCTCACTGTTGCATGTTTAATACTGCTAATAGGATAAAGAAGATTTATAAAGAAAAGATTTAAAAAAACCCAAACAAAAAACTCCAGCACAAACCCACAAAACCTCTTGTTCTTACATATTTTATTAAACTCAAAATGTGTTTAAACACGCTCAAATGCTGCACAGAGCTGAGCTGTGGAGCAATCTTGGTTTGAAGGCTGCTGTTGTGGTTGGGTTGGAGGGGAATGGTGGGTCTGAGCCAGCGAGGGGTTCCCCTAAGGCAGCAATTTTTGTGCAGATTTTTGTGTTTTGAGGATCAGCATTAGCCTGGGAGTGCTGACATACTTGCTCAGGGAGCTTGTTTGGAGAGCAGGGCAGAGCTGTTGGCTCTCTACCATTGCTTTTCGTGGAATGACACATTTTGAAGCTGGGAAATAGGGTTCAAATCGGAACTAATTCCAGTTTTTAAAAATAGGCCAAAGAGAGAAGTTTGGGGTGTGTAAATGGATGTGTTTTATCTCAGCATGGTAAGCTCAGCTGTGAGGGTGGGTGATGCTAAGCTGGAGGCCCTGGGGGGCTTTGGGGCTTAGGTGAGGGAGATAAGAGTGGGTTTGCTCCAGGAGAGGAGCCTAAATGCCTCCCCAGTGCTTAGGCCAAGCTTGCTAATCCTGGCTTAGGCTCCGTCACACCAGAAGCCCTAAATGGGATTTGTCATTTCTCAGAGAGGCAGCAGAGTGCCCAAAATACGCTTTTAGCCCCAAAAGAAGCAATCCCAACCCTGCCCTGGGGTGGTGGCTGAGTCCCTGTGGGCCAGGGGACAGGAGGTGACAGAGCAGCTGCTGGGCTTGGAGCCTCCTTGGTGGTGCCAGGCACCCCTTGCTCTGCATTCCCTGGAAATCCAGGACCAGGAGCAGGATGTGGTGGGAGGTTATGGCTGCACTCTCTTTATCCAGGTGTCCAGAGCAGGTGTGGGATTCATCCCAAGCCAGCAGCACAGGCTTCTCTGCTAGGTTAGTGTCTCCAGAGGTAGCACCATCGTAGCTTTTTTGTCTAACATGTGTGTGGTGCCTTCCCCTAACTGTGGTGTGTGAGTGCAGAGCTCTCATTCCCATAACATCCCACTCTTGTGTGCTCTGAGAACTGGGCTTCCCTTGAGGAAATGCTGGATGCCACAAGAAACTAGTTCTGGTGACGAGACACGGCGTTTTTTGTGCACAACTTTGCCTTTCTTAGAGACTCTTCTCTGACAATTGTTTAAAACAAAGGTGGCACATACAGGGTTTTAACTGTATGTATCAACCTAGGGACACCTAATGTGGGTTGTAATGAAATTCCTGGCTTTTCCCCTCTATATATATATATAAAATATATATATATATATATATATATATATATACACATAAATAAGGCAAGTACATGCCTTAAGTTTAAGTAATTCTCATGTATGTGCATATAAACTTCAGTAACATTCCAGTTGTTGGTTAATTTGAGAACACCTTTGTTTTCCACAAGCGAAGCCTTTTTCTGGTGTGTGTTTTGTACCTTTGCTGTCTGTAACCAGCTGCTTTGTGTGGCAGGTGGGAGATTCAAGAAGGAGATAGTGGTTGATGGACAGAGCTACCTGCTGCTGATCAGAGATGAAGGAGGCCCTCCAGAGGCACAGGTGAGCCCAAAGCCTCGCTTCCCTTGTTTTTCAAAACTTCCTTTCAAAGAGCTGGCTCTGCTTTGTTCTGCCTTGGCTTCTTCTCATCTTCCTGCCAGGAGAATTCCAGCGTCACCCTCAGGTGAAAAAGATTTTGTCCAGCAAATGGTTGGGATTTCAGTTGTGATGGATGGATGAGTGTGTGTAGCAAATATTTGGGATTCTGACTGAGACTGTGCAAGTCAGGATATACAGCTCATTTATACTCAGTTCCCGAGCACTGTGCTGCCTCTGGTGACACATCAGGATTTCAGAGAAGCACAGAATGGTTTTTGGTGGGTGGGGACCATAAAGCTCATCTCACTCCCACCCCCTGCCGTGGGCAGAGACACTTCCTCTATCCCGGGTGGCTCCAAGCCTCCATGTCCAGCCTGGCTGTGGACACTTGCAGGGATCTGGGCACCCTGTGGCAGGGCCTCCCCACCCTCACAGGGAGGAATTCTTTCCTACCATCCCATTCAGCCATGTCCTGTGGTGGTGGGAAGCCATTCCCTGTGTCCTGCCCTGCTTCAGCCCTTGTTCCAAGTCCCTCTGGAAGGGGCTCTGAGGTTTCCCTGGAGCTTTCTCTTCTCCAGGTTGAACACCCCCGGCTCTCCCAGCCTGTCCAAGCCACTGGCTGTGGAGAAGACACTTGAGGGTTTGAGTGCTTGACCCTTACTCTGTTTTGAGCAAGATTTGCTCATGTGCTGCTTAAATCACCTCAGACCCAGCTGTGCTTTCTGCAGGCAGCATCCTTGTCTTGGGCATCCTCCTCCTCTACCTCTCCTCACCTGGGCACTGGCAGGATTTCCTCTCTTGGCTGCTGCTGGCCTTGCTTTGCCCGGCTCTTCCGGGAGGGATCAGCTTCCAAACAAGCAATAATTTAGCACCAGGAGCTGCCAAACAGCTGAGGGGGAGCAGTGCCAGCAGCAGCAGCTTGGCTTTCAATGCAGCACCACAGCTCCAGGAGGGTGAGAGCGTGGGGGAAGGTGCCAGGACAAAGGGGAAGAGAAAGGACGTGGAGGAAATGGAGGCTGAGAGAGACATCCTGGAAGGAAGTCACAGGACAGAATAAAGCGCTGGCACATCTGCAGCCCTGTCAGCAGGAGCAACAAGGAAGGCTCTGTCTGGGGCTGGGAGGGATTTGGCTGAATTACCCCCTGGTTTGCAGCCTCTGATGCTTAGAGAGCATTCACTCATCTAGAGTGTAAATAGTGGAGGTGTAAAGGTGCATGCAGCAATCTGAGATGGTTTTGTGCCTGGGTTTGCAGAGCTCACAGGAGCTGCCTGCAGGCTGATGAACAGCACGGGGTGTGCCCCTGGGATGTGCCAGGTACATTTGGGGCTTTGACTGCTGCTGTCCAGTGGAAGGTGTCCCTGCCTATGGCAGGGGGTTGGTATGAGGTGAACTTTAAGGTCCTTCCAACCCAAACCATTCTGAGATTCTGTGGTGGCTGAGCTTTGTTCTCCATCCTCATGATTTGCTGAAGAGGTCCGAGGTGTCAGTGCTGTCTCACCTTTCAGCACGAGGCTTTCCTGTAAATTCCCTTTGGAGTTTTTGGGTATAATTTCAAGTTACATGTCTATTAAAATCTTTGATCTGTTCAGTTAATTCCTGCAATGAAAAGTTTGGTTGTGTGTTCATTAGGATTGAATTCCAGCTGCAGTAAGTAAGGAGCTGACATGTGGAGTGCCTGGCACTGGGTCATGGGTATTCCCCAGGTTACTGTCCCCTTCTTTTTGGCAGGAAGAGAGAAAAAACAAACTTCCCTGAAGACTCTTTTTGTGGGTCTATGATCTCTCCTTTTTTGCCTAAGATAAAATGGTCCAAAGATGAAAATAATTCAATTTCCTGTTGTAAAACCAAATTAACCTGGTGACTGACCTACAATGGGCTGCTGCATGTAACTTTTTAATTTTAAAACTTTTTTTACAATTTGGTTTTGGCATGCCTTGAACTAACAGCTCTGCTCACTCACAGTAATAAGTCTGAGAATGGATTTCTACATCAGCAGCTGATTTGTCCTTGTTTCAAGCCATTTCCTGCACAGTACTCTGGATGAGACATCCAGGGTTTCCAGACCTTGTGTTTCCCAAAATTCCTCTGGTTTTCTGTACTACAGGTCTGATATCCATGAAGATTAAGCTGCATTTCAATACCAAAAGAGAAATAAGGAATTGTTGGAAATGTTTTGTGTCTGCAGGAGCTGCACAGTGTAAATCTGTGGAGTGTTTTAAAATAATCTTTATTAGAAGGCTGCTGTACGCACTGCTCAAACATTCAGAGGGTTTAGACAGACTCTTGGCTTCCAAATGGGTGCCTTAAGGACATTGCAGTTGTTGGCAAGAGCCCTTGGCATGATGCTGCTGAGTCCAGTCAACAAAAACCATTTTATAATGAGACCCTAGCCCACATCTCCCAAATAATGATGCTGTCTCCAGTCCCTGTGGTTGCATCTTCTGGTTTGAACAGTTTAACAGTGTGGTGGTTGACCTTATTCTGGCAGTGACTCTGCTATGTGTTAACCAGTCCTCTCCTTCCCCTCTGGAAGATTGTCCTCCTGACTGTCTTGAAAACCTCAAAGCAATTTTTTGTCTATTTTTACACCATAACAGCCCAGGCAGTGTTTGTTTTCAATACAATCATCATGAATATGCAGAGCCTTTTCCCAGTGAACCTCTGTGTTCAGCGTGTCCCCTGGCACGTTGTAGTAATAATGCAACAAAGCATGAAAATCCCCTTGGCAGAAGCTTGTTTCCATTGCTCTAAATTTGGGTAGGAATGGAGTCACTTAGGGAAAAATAAAGGCAGCGAGGTAAGCTGGAGTTTTTTCTTGATGTCCTGTTCACGTTCACTGTTAAGTTAAATGTCTTAATTCACTTGTGAGCTAAAAGCTTCTCACTTGCATGGTCACTGAGGAGCACCTTGGCTTGGCCTGTGCACCTGCATGTCTCTCAGCAGGTTCCTGATGCCAAGAGAGAGCAGTTTGCTCTTCTACTGAGAGCAGAACGAGGCACTTGGTGCTGCTGGCTCAGCTGAGAGTGTCTGTATGGTGAAGAATTGGAAGTCTCAAATTAACGGGATTAAGATGTGAGGATTCCTAGCACTGCCTGTCCTGGCATAGCAGCAGCAGCAGCATGCATGCATGCAAATGGCAGCGTGGGGGCTCAGTCAGCACTGCAGATGAGGGCTGCTCATTTCAAATGCGCAGACCCAGCAGCCTCAGCCTGCTGTTTTCTGGGAACCAAACCCATGTGCACTGACAGACGTTGGATACACACCCCAGTGAAGAAGGAGTGCTCTTGTGGGGAAATCTATCCCAGATCCCCATGGCTTGCAGGGTGATGAGATTCATCATTTTAGCAGATTATCCTAACCTTGCTTAGGCCTTGGTTGTGTGTGAGTTTTTCTGGTGTGTATTTCCCTTGCAGGAAGGTAAGAACGTTTCTCTCTTGGTTTTCCTTCCTTCCCCCTCCTCGCTGCTCTTCTCACAGTCGGCCTTTTCCATTTTTATCCTGCAGTTTGCCATGTGGGTGGATGCTGTTATCTTTGTGTTCAGCTTGGAGGATGAAGTCAGCTTCCAGACTGTTTACCACTACTACAGCCGCATGGCCAACTATCGCAACACTAGTGAAATCCCCATGGTCCTGGTGGGCACCCAGGGTAAGTGCAGCCCTCATCCCAGCTGGAATGGTCTCAGCTGGACCATGTTGACTCCTCCAGGCTGGCAAAGCCATGTCCTGTCCTTTCCCCTTTGCTACAGGGCTGTGGCATTGCAAGGACAGTATCTGAGGTGAGAGAAAATGTCCTGGCAGCTCGCTTGGAGAGGGAGTGTAGCACTTCAGCAGTGAAGAAAGAAGGGGTGTTTAGGTCAGATATGCACAAGAAATTCTTCCCTGTGGGGATGGGGAGACCCTGCACAGCTGTGGCTGCTCCTGGATGCCTGGAAGTGTCCAAGGCCAGGTTGGACAGGACTTGGAGCAACCTGGGACAGTGCACGGTGTCCCTGCCCATGGAAGTGGGTGGAACACAATGAGCTTTAAGATCCCTTCCAACTCAGACTATTCCAGGATTCTATGACTTGAAAGGAAGTTTTAAATAATACTTCCAGTGCATGCTGGTTGTGGTGGTTTTCTTGCCCAGCAGGGAGATGCCCTTGTTGAATTTGAGCAGGTAAATCAGTTGTGTAGGGAAGTTCTGCAGCTAGATCAGTTTCCATGTGCTTGGCACTGGAAGGGTTTAACACCCTGGCATTGCTGAGAGGCAAAAGGATGAGAGGTGGGAAACCTCCAGCAGCATGGTGGGAAGCAGAGGTGAACCCTGGCCTCAGGCTGTGCCTCTGGGAGACCTCTGTAAACCAAGTAGAAATGCAGCTTTTTACCACCTGAGCCTGCCTCTCCCCCCAGTTTTTCCTTCTTTGGCATTTGAGTGTTTTTTTGAATATTCTCTGCCTTGTTGTGCCAGCATATCCCGGTAATATTTCACCAGTGTCCCATACTGTGATGGGTTTGCTGCATTGGTGGAGCTGAGGCTGTTCTGTTCCTGACCATGGAATTATTAAGGTTGGGAAAAAAACGTTTTAAATCATCAAATCCAGCTGTTCCCTCAGCACTTCCAACACCAGCACAGCCGTGTCCCCAGGTGCCACACCCACACAACCTTTACATCCTTCCAGGGATGGGGACTCACTCCAGCACTGCCCTGGGCTGCTGTGCCAGGGGTGGACATCCCTTTGGGCACAATTTGAAGCCGTTTCTCCTCTGTTCCTTGGGTACAGAGCCCACCTGGCTGCACCCTCCTGGCAGGAGCTGTGCAGAGCCAGAAGTCCCTCCCTGAGCCTCCTTTTCTCCAGGCTGAGCCCCACCAGGTTAGTGTTCTGTGTTAGAGGCAGAGCACAGGTGGTGTGAATTGTTCTTGGTTCAATTTTGGGCATCCTCCTTGTTAGTGTGTCCCAGTGGTTTTGGAGCTTTTTGGTGGTTTTTTTCAGCCTTGTGGTCAAGGAGCAGTTGGCCTTCCCCTGCCTCCTGCCCAGGGGTGACAGCACAGAGGGGATGTGTGGGCAGCAGGGAGGGAGGAATCACAGCCCAGCTGGAGGGAGGAAACAGATGATAAGAAGGAAAAGGGGAAGGAGGAACAGAAAAAGTCTTAGGACAGCACAAACTCCACCAAAAAACAGAAAGGAGCTGCTTTGAAGGGCCGTATTTTGGGCTTGAAGCTGGAGTTGAGAAAGTGAAGGGGAAGCATTTCTCTAACTTTTTTTTTTAATTTGTGTCCTTCTGACCCCCTTCTGGGGTATGGTTTGGGGTATGGTTTTCCATCTCCTTCCTGTTACTTCCAGAAAAAGAAAAGTTCATTTTCCGTTGCAGCATTGATGCAAAGGGGATTTTTTGAAAAGATGGAAATAATGCTAATTCTAGGAATAAGCATCAGGAAAAACCACAGCTTTTGGTCTGTGTTTGATGGTGAAATAAAAGATATGAAATATTTAAATACACTTGTTAAAATACATATTTGAAATCTACCTTTCATATCATAGAATCCCAGAATGGTTTGGGATGGAGAGCAGCTTAAAGCACATTTAATTCCAACCCCTTGCCATGGGCATGGGCATGTTTTAGTAGCCTTGGTTGCTCCAAGCCCTGTCCAACCTGGACTTGTTGGTTTTGTCAGGTACTCCTGCAATGAGATGTGAAATGAAATCTCTCCCACAATATCAACACTTCCAGACATTGTCCCCTGACTTCCAAATCCAGCTCAGTGCCCCAGCCTGACCCACCTGAGAACAAGGAGGCAAACTTTGGGGAGCTGTGGTGTTCTGGAGCTGAACCCTCTCAGTTCCCTTCTGGGTACAGGTTACCAGCGCCCTCTGCTGATAAAAAACAGGCTCCTGCTCTTCCTAATTGCTGCTTTATTTTTGTTAATTGGGTCTGATGAGAAGGTAATGGCAGCATCAGTTGAGGTCTGCTCCTCTCATGCCCGCGGCAGAGCCTCACACACGGCGTTGCAAGAGGCACTGATTCCATGTTTAGGTTCAGGTGATGCTTTTTTCCCAAAGAACAAATCTGTCTTGCTGCTGTGGGTGGTTGCAGATTTTAAGGAAAGCTTTCTGGGCAGCTGTAAATGCTGAAATCAGTGCCTGTTGTAGAATCCCAGAATGGTTTGGGCTGAAAGGGACCAGCCAGTGCCACCCCCTGCCATGGGCAGGGACACCTCCCACTCAGTATCCCAGGTTTTTCCAAGCCCCGTCCAACCTGGCCTGGACCATTTCCAGGCATGGGGCAGAAGAGTAACACAATACTCCTGGGAAAAAAAACCAAACCAAACAAAAACCACTTCCTTTTCAAGATCTGTTAATAAGATTATCACTTCAAATAGTATCACCTTTGTATACAGAGAGCATCACTATGATGGAGTAGCAAGGAAGAAGCTTCTCCTTTGTCTGTTCTGGTGTAAGGAAATTTCAGAAACTGAAATTTCTGGTTTTCAGCTCTCATGAAAAGAAACTCTTGGAGAGAATTACCAAATATGATGGTTTAGAAAAATACAATTTTTATCAGCTTTGCAGTATGTTCCTACAACATCTCTGGGATGGGAACCATCTGGGTGCCTTCACAGTATGAGAAAGTAAATTACAATTAGGTTCTATTTCTTTAAAATGCATCATGTTTAATATTTCACACTCTATAGTCACTGATACTTACCGAGATCTAAAATCCATTTGACATGTTTGTACTAATCACCCACTTGTTTCCCTAAATATATTTTACATCAGAGCTCATGCTCTTTCATGTGATTGTGTGAATTTTTTTTTTTTTTTACAACAACTGAGCTCAATATATGTATTTAAGTATTTTACATCAGAGCTCATGCTCTTTCATGTGATTGTGTGAATTTTTTTTTTTTGACAACAACTGAGCTCCATGTATGTATTTAAGGAAAACAAAAAGCCTTGGAGGTTTTCCCCCTGGCTTTTAGAATCAATGTACTGGTAATTTTAATAAGGAAATATAAATTAGAGTGATGTACACTTTCATGGCTTGTGTTTAAACTCACTGCTTGATATTGGTCAATATGAGAGGAGCTGGCCTGAAGTTTCACCAGGGGAGTTCAGGTTGGATATTGGGGAGAATTTGCTTAGGGAAAGGATTGTCAAGCATTGGAACCATCCCTGGCAGTGCTCAAAAACCACGTGGATGTGGCACTTGAGGGCACGGGTTAGTGGTGACCGTGGGTTGATCTCAGAGGTCTTTCCCAACTTCCACAGCCCTCCTGTGACTCCGTGAATCCCAGGCTGGTGTTTCCAAGTGACCATTAATGGGTGTTTTCCCCCTGTGGCTCTGCAGATGCCATCAGCTCCACCAACCCCCGCGTCATCGACGATGCCAGAGCCAGGAAGTTGTCCAACGACCTCAAGAGATGCACCTACTACGAGACCTGCGCGACCTACGGGCTCAACGTGGAGAGAGTCTTCCATGACGGTACAGCTGCCTCTTGGCATCCAGCACATTGCTCCATCCTCTGGCTGTCCTTTCTGACTAATGACCCAGCTGGGTCAGCTCACATATTTGCCTGCTCAGTTACAGAATACGCTGATTTTAAGGCATTTTTGTTGTGTTTTTTAAGACGGCTCCTTAACTCGAACACTGATGTGTTCTCCACCAGCACCTTTAGTCTTTAGTCTCTTTTAAGACTCTTTTAAGACTCTTTTAAGTCTCTTTTAAGACCTTTAGTCTCTTTTAAGTCCTTATTTAATGTTCAGGTTTCCTTGGTGCTTGCTTTATTGTAGCAAAGTTTGCTTTGGTTTTTTCCTCCTGGAGAGGCTGAGGGGCTGTTTGTGGCAGAGTAGCTGAAAACGCTACATTTGAGCAGCATCATGTTCATGGGGTGTTTAGAATTGAGAGCTAGGTTGGAGGTTGGGAAGGAATTGTTCCTTGTGAGGGTGCTGAGGCCCTGGCACAGGGTGCCCAGAGCAGCTGTGGCTGCCCTTGGATTCCTGGAGGTGCCCAAGGCCAGGCTGGACAGGGCTCAGAGCAGCCTGGGATAGTGGAAGGTGTCCCTGCCCATGGCCAGGGTAGGACAGGGTGAGCTTTAAGCTCCTTTCCACCCCAAACCATTCTGGGACTCTCAGAGAGTCTTGTGTAGGGGTTTTTGATCCTTGTAGGTCCCTCCCAGATGAGTATGTGCTGTAATTCCATGATCTGGAGTTGTGTGAGATGGGATCTGTGCCCCCTCTAGTGGAATTTCAGTCCAGTGTCCTGGGGCTTGGCTGGCTTCTCTTCTCACCAGGCTCCTCTCGAGGCTGAACGTGTCAACCCCTCATCACAGCAGTTTTCTGTGTCTGAAAACCTTCTTAATTAATTAAGTTTTAATGCTTCTCAGAGCCCCTTAGTTCTAGGGGTTTTTGTTGCCAGCTTCTCCTTGCAAAGTCCTGCGCTGCCTGTGCTTACATGAGGCAGTGTCACATCAGCACCTTGTAATGGGGTGTGAAAAGGCACTTCGCATTAAAAAAAAGGGAAAAATATCAAATTTTTACATGGAATGAAAAGGTGACGCATTCTAATGTTTGCATTGGAGAAAGAAAAAAAAGTTGTAATTTTTACATGGGGACAAAGAGGCAAAACATTGTACATTTTACCTGGAAAATACTGACCTGCCCCCAGTTTTTACCCATGCTGTTGGTCAGATTTCATAGAAGAGCATTTGAAGTTGCATCTTCTTGCTTTGCTCCCTGTTTTCTGTTGAACTAGTTGCAAAAATTACTGTTTTGACTGCCTAGATTTTCTATATTGATTAGGAGTTTCAAAGAGCCATTAGGGGGTTTTGTTTAGCACATTTATTTTGGAGTGCTGGCTATAGTTAGATTGTTAATTATATACTCCAAGTCCTGGTGTTTGTGGCTCTGTCTGCAGCCTCCCTCTTAGTTTTTTTTTCCCCTTTCTCAGAGATTTTGAGAGAAGTCTCTTGGCACAAAGCTAGTGTGATAAACTTGTAAGCTTTCAGGAGGCTCATTTGTCTCTCTTTGGTCGTAAGAAAGAATTGACAGGGATCATGTGTTTTAAGAAATATCAGGGTGTTGTTTTGCCCCCATGGCAGCCAACCAGCTCTTTAATATTTGCCAGCTAATAGGATTAGAAATGCTTCTGTATGAATGGGCTACACTTGCCAGACACGTCTGGGACCAAATCCAATTCCTGATAATTTTTGCTGTTTATTTCAGCAGGAAACAAAGCAACTTCTTAACCCCATTAAATGGGGGGGTGTGAATGAGCAGTGCAGGCTGTTAATAGCTAGCACTTGATTAAATATCCCTTGGTTTGTGCTGCTCTGGGGCGTTTAGGTTCAGCGTAGCTTTAATGTTTTTTTGTGGCTTCTTCAGAGGGGTCACATTAGTTGGGCAGCCTGGGATAGTGGAAGGTGTCCCTGCCTTGGCAGGGGGTGGAACAAGATGAGCTTTAAGGTCCCTTCCAATCTCAACCATTCTGGGCAGAGGGGTCACATTAGTTGGGCAGCCTGGCATTCTGGGGTTCTCTGATAGTAGGAAAAAAAAAAAAAAAATTCACGTGAGGATGTTCCAGCCCACAGACTTTTCTTCTGCACACACTTAGTGGGTTTTGACACCAGTTCCTGGTTTGGGCTGTTTTGTTTGCAAGTTTATTTTAAAATCTCTTTTCTTGTTTCTGTATCAAAAAAAAAAAATTCACGTGAGGATGTTCCAGCCCACAGACTTTTCTTCTGCACACACTTAGTGGGTTTTGACACCAGTTCCTGGTTTGGGCTGTTTTGTTTGCAAATTTATTTTAAAATCTCTTCTTGTTTCTGTGTTGTGCCTTGCTGTGATGTAGACCTACCTTTTGGAGGAAGAAATTGGAAATGGCATTGAAGAGCTTTTTACTCCTTCATTGCACACACTTCAGAAATTAAATTTCTAATTTGTCCCCTGCAAGCAGCTAGTGAACTTAGTGGTCATCTGTTATGATTCTTCTGTGATAACTCATTTCCCATTTTCGCCACAGCTGAGTGGTAAAATAATTTAACTTGAATGATTATTGTTATTATGAAAATGCTACTTTATTCTCGAGTTAAATCCAAATACCTCGTTTCCAACGCTTCATTACAGCTGATAAGCTCACTATTGATTGTAACAGAGATGGAATCATAGAATCACTTGGGTTGGAAAAGACCCTTAAGATCATCAACTCCATTGGTTCATATTTTGTGAGAGGAAAGCTGAGTAAAGTGAAAGCCAAAATCCTCCTTCACATTCTGCTATTTTAGAGGCTGCTTTTCAGCCTTCAAGCATGTCCCACTGAGGTTTAATCTCTCATACTGTTGGGAAGTTAAACCTGAATTTCAGGCTGAAATAAAAAAGAGGAGTTCCATGTTTCAAGGGTTTAGTTTAGTAATGTGCCCAACAATGGGGGATAATAAATATTTTCTTATTTTTTGGTATTTTGAATAGTTGAACAAGGGAATTGCATTAAAAAAAATAGATAAATGGTAATAAGATCCATTTTGCTTCATATTCCCAATTAAGAATTAGAGATTTTTTTTTCCCTCTGCTTATCAGAATGGATTCTATCAATGACATTGAAAATGATTATTTTAATGCTTCTTGTCAGCACAGTATTGTAATGACTGTGTACTGCCCCAGGATGCCTTTTTAATGGTTTTAGCCTTCTTGAATTAGCTTGATGTACCATTAATGCATGAGAATTGCTTTTATTTCTGTTCACGGTGTATTCATAACCACACATCATGCCCTGCTTTATGTTCGGATTTTCCCTGACCCATTTAGCTGTGGGCCATGCAAGTCCCTGACACCACAAAGGAGCAAATGTTCAAATATTTAGAGGATAAAATTTTACTATCACAGGGTGTGAAACAAAAGGGTTTGAGTCTAACTTGGGTTCAGAGTTGAATCTGTCTCTGAAGCTTAGCAGCTCAACCAAGGAGGTTTTACGTCTTCTAGATGGGTTTTACACCCAGATTTTGATGTAATACTGCCAAAAATAAAAATAAACCTGTGAATATAGCAGCAGGAGTTGCAGGTATGTGGTAGCAGACGTCCCTGCTGCCTCACAATTTGCACTTTGCTCTGGTGCTCTGCTGCTGCCCGTATTTTTGGATGCTTTCTTTGCAAATTAACTAGTCTTTTATTAAGGAATGTGTCTGCTCTGTGTAAAAAATCTACCAGGAGTATTTTATTTCCAGATCCAAACAGTATTTATTTCCAGATCCAAGTAGTATTTCCTGTGTGGTGTTGAACAAAGGTGTCTTAAAAGGAGAACTTCAAAGCACCATTTCTCTGTTAAGGGATGGGAGATGACAGATTAATCCTGCTGCAGCCACATTGAGGGGAAGGGCTGTCACTTGCCATCAGCATTATCTAGTCAGCTTTTATAGATGTGTTTTCATTAGGAAATGTTAATCAGCCTAATGGGAAGTAAATAAAAAAGAAGTAAATTGGTCCCGTCCCGACAGCTGTTTTGGGAAGGTCCGAGTTCACTCTGGCACTGGATGTGGCCTAAGGGATTCTCTGCTGGTGGGGACCCAGTGCAGGGCAGGGTGAGGCAGCGGTTCCTTCAGCTCGGGACTTCCTTGGACTTCCTTGGACTTCCTTGGACTTCCTTGGATTTCCTTGGATTTCCTTGGATTTCCTTGGAATTCCTTGGATTTCCTTGGAGTTGGGCTGCGTCCTCCGGGAATGTGGCATCTGCAGTGATGAGCTTCAGGATAGCCTGGATCAGCCTGCTGACTCTTGCATGCTTCACAACTGCCGGGAAAGCAATGCTTTGCCTGGTTAGATATTTGTGTCTTTGGTGGTGGTTTTTTTTTTTTTTTTTTTTTTTTATTGAAAAAATTAACATTAGGGAGTCAATTTCTTTTTCGATATCATGGCTTAGCCTGGACCAACAAATCCTCAAGCCGCGTTCAGGGGGGGTTTTTTTTTTTTTTTTTTTTTTTTTAATGAGAAAGTGACATTAGGGAGTCAATTTCTTTTTCGATATCATGGCTTAGCCTGGACCAACAAATCCTCAAGCCGCGTTCATTTTAACCCCCTGTTCATTTTAAGTCGTTTCAGTTCTAAGTTCGTTTTAGGGTGTTTGTTTCAACGCAAAATTAACGTTTTGATTTTATTAATCCCCGGGAATTAGGGAGCGCGGCGGGCGCGGCCGCCAGGGGGCGCCGGAGCCGCGGCGTGAGGGGCCCGTGAGGGGCCCGTGATGGCGGCGGCGCCGCGGAGCCCCCGGCGCTTTGTGCCGCCGCGCCGGGACGTTCAAACGCTCCGGCCGCCAGAGTCGGCTGGAAAAAAATATATATAAACGCAAAAATCTGGCCGCCCTCTTCTTGTGAGGTGTTTCTGTTTGTGTTTTATTTTGAACTTGCTTCAGCTTCACCCTTGCTCATGCTTTGCCCGTACACTTACTTTATACCCTTCCTGCCTGCCTGTAGCTCTTATAGGCCATTAATAAATGAG